CTTTTGTTATGTGGTTTTGGGTGAGGGTAAGTTTAAATTGGTCTCGGACTGCTATCAGATTGCTCTGCCACAGCCTGTCCAATCCTATTGTATTCAGCCGGAGGCTGTGACAGTTGTTTGGTTTCAGTATGGTTCTGCCTAATAACTCAGTCTCTACAAAATGCTTAATTGTTTGGGAATTAACAAATGCACAGGTGGCATGCTTGTGCTTTTTTTATTTTTTTTTATTTTTTTAACACCTCCATCCACATTTTTAGTTTTGCCAGAGGTGTCTCTAGGACTGGAAATTGAATGGATTGTCATTACCTTTTGTAAACACATTTTTAGTGCCCAGAGGTTGAAACATACTGACTTTAATGATCCAGACTTTCCTCCAGCAAATGTAGAACCCTAACGCTCACAGTAAGAAGGTTATTGAGAAAATAGATTTTCATCTAGCACCATCATGTCCAATTTGTACAATACTTTGGTTCATGACCAAATACCTGCAAAACATTTCTGTCAGCTGTAGCTAATTAGCAGCTGTTAACTCACTTAACTAAGAACATGGTAAACTTTATATCCTTTTTTGCATCAGCATTTTAACATCGTCACTGTGATCATGTCAACATGCTGATATTAGCTTTAAGCTCAAAGCACCACTGTGCCAAAGTACAGCCTCACAGAGACACTAGCACGGCTGCAGCCTCTAATTCTTGTCACCGAAGAGGTAGAATATTCAGTAATATCACATCTTCTTCCCCTCTAGGCTCAGTGACGAGGTTCCTTCAGTGAGGCAGACAGCTGTGACAGTTCTTACTCAGTTGGTGCTTAAGGATGTGCTCAAGGTCAAAGGTCAAGTTAGCGAGGTGGCTGTGCTACTAATTGACCCTGAGCCTCACATTACCAGCCTCGCCCTGAACTTCTTCAACGAGCTGGCCAGCAAGGTACACACACACACACACACACACACAAAAAAAGCCGGAATAATTGGGAAAGACTCTAACTCTGTTCTTGGTGTTTTAATCAGGACAATGCAATCTATAACCTGCTCCCAGACATCATCAGTCGCCTGTCCGACCCAGAGAGAGGCATGACCTCGGAGGACTTCAATACCATCATGAAGTGAGTTGGATGGCTTTTCAGTATGTGTTTAGTCCCATTTGCTGCCTTTGTCCACAGAGCATTTGCCCCGGGACAAATCGTGACTTGCTTAAGAAGCTTTTGAGGAGAAAGTTAACAGCTTTGCTATTTTGAGAGCTTTGTTTAGATGCTGTATTTGTGTGTGTGTTTTCAGACAGCTATTCTCCTACATCACCAAAGAAAGGCAGACTGAGTCTCTGGTAGAAAAACTCTGTCAGCGCTTCAGAACTGCCAAGTGAGTACATCTCCACCTCCTTCTTTTCTCATCTTCCCACCTCTGACCTGCGTCTTTTATGTGTTCTTTTTTCTTTATTTTTCCCCGCTCGTTCCTGAGTCCATCCTGCCATATTTCATTTGTGCAAGATGTAGGGGTGAATGCGTGGGTAATTAGTGGGTGTTTGTAAAGAGTGACAATTAAAGAGTTCACAGTTCAGTTTACCTATCGCCTGCACTCTGACACCTTATCCACTCATTTTGTCATGGAAACTGTCTTCCTATATAGTAGAGGAACGCAGCTAGAACAATTGGCCTGGCCAGGCTTCAGTCTGCCTCTGACTCATGCTTCATCCATACTCAAAGGAAGGACGTTTTATATTGCACAATGGCAAAGTGAATTTAGGTATAAGATTTTCCTGGAAAATGAGATTTGGTCCAAATGCCAGCACAAAGCCATATTCAGGAGTAATGAGCTTTTACGTTGAGGATCAAAAATTTCTATGCATTTCACATAGTTTCTAATCAGGTTTAGTCCCTATGACTCTGATTCTACTTCTCTCCTCAGGACCGAGCGTCAGTGGTGTGACTTGGCCATGTCTCTGTCTCTGCTGTCCATGTGTGAGCGTGGTTTTAAGAGGCTGCAGGAATGCTGGGAGTGTTACAGTGACAAGTTAACTGAGCCCGGAGTCTACCAGCCTCTGCTCTCCATCACTGCCAAGCTCCGCCGTGGGGCCAAACCCCAGTTTAAGGTGCTACATAAATCTCCTTTTCCGAGTAGTTTTTATTTTAATGTAATCTTTGTGTTTACTGATGGCAACTTCTTGTTTCCCCAGGCCCAGGTGGATGAGTTTGAAAAGCGCCTCACAGCGGTTCACACCCGGGGGCTGGAGAATGTAGAAAGTCCTGAGATGGATGAGGAGAACCAAAAACAAGGAGGATCCACTGAGAAGACAGTCATGCAAACACCTCAGCCCGCCAGAGGCCGCCCGAGGACAAAGAGAGGTCAGTAACATTTCACTTTGTGCAAATGTGGATGCAGAAACATTTTTTGTTTTGTCATATAAACATTTTCCTGTTTTTGTTACAGGTCAAGCAAAACCCTCAGTTTCTAGCCGTGGTGATGACAGTTTTGTGACGCCTCAGAAATCTCGCAAGTCCAAGAAACCTATAATCTCCTTCAGCAGTGATGAAGAGGAGGATGAAGAGGGTAAGTGCATTCACTTAATAATTAAACATTCCAATTAAAGTTCTTTTCCATTAATTGTTTGGCCCATAACATGTCAGAAAATAGTGGAAAAACTCCGATTTTAGAAGCCAGAACGAGGGAATTGTATCAGCTAGTGGTATTATGTATGGACGTTACTTCAGTAAGTCAGTAATATACTTCAGATCAATACGGCAAAGTTCAGAGTGTTTGGATCACTGAGCTGAACCACACTGTGTCTAAGAAGATTTAGGATTGTTGTACCTCAGTTGCTCTTAAAAGCGAGCTGTGCATTGCAGCAACACTAATCCAAGATCTGGGGATATATCTAATCAATTTTATAGAAAAGGACTGAAGGAAGCCAATCTACAAATTACCAAAGATAGTGTCGACATTAAATTAGATAAGGTAGTGAACATGTAGTTTCATTATATGGGGTGAGATTTTCTTTTAATATTCTCCTAATTAAGTTATGATTACTGAAATATTTCAGACTGAACCTGTAAAACCATCTTGGGCACATTGTTTCTGTGGCAGCTCTCTGGCCTTTTTCACAGTGCTCAGTTTATTACTGGTCCAAGACAACAGCCCATGAGTTGTCTTGCTTGATCAACTCCTAATCCTCATTTGTTTTTTTCATCAGATGCTGTAATGGCGGACAGTGAGACCCCTAAAGTGACGACGCCCATCGCCCGCACATCCCGACGAGCTCGCCTCAGAAACTGATCTGTCTTCTGTCGTTTTGTCTTGTTTCTGTGTTTCCTTTTTAATCTTTTATCCTGTTTTCTTTGTTTCTTTTTTAATGTTTTATCTAAAATGATGCATTGCATTTTTACTTAATCTTTTTGTATATTTTTTTTTAAAGATATTGGTTTTTAGCACCAAACAAAAGTAGTCCGCTGTATCTAATGACATAGAATCAAGATTGTCTTTAATAAACCTGGTTCTGGTTTTGATAAGAAGTCTACGGCTGTCTGTCTCTGTTTGAGCTGCGTCACTCACCGAAGAGAACTCCAGAGGCTCTATACTAACAGATGTGTGAGGGGTTGGGGTGTCTTCTGGGTTATGTCAAGTAAATTTATACCATCATTACAAGCAGCTTTGAATGTCTGCTTGTATTATGTGTTTGGACAGTGGTGTTTAATGGGTTGTCACAGCTTGCCCAGACAGTGTTACTACCCCACATGCATCTCCACTTCATTTTCCTCCATTTGCTTTTCCTTTCTCAAAGCATGTTTTGTCAAATCAGATTTCAGTCTTTATAAGATTCACTGTATTCCTCACCAGTGATTGTGGCATGTTGTTTATTTACAATTTTTTTTAATTTATTTTTTTTCTCTTGTTCTGTCTGACACATTTGCGGTTGCCTAGTTGGCCGCCTCTGTACTCCTGTAATCAATCTCTTTTGTAGGTCTCCCTCTGCTCTCTGCCTCCCTCCCATCCTCCTCCTCCTACTCTCCATTGCCTACTTTTCCTCTTACAGCTCTCCTCTCTTCACCAACATCTCATGCACGGTAGTTTAACCCCCCCTCTCCCTCCCTCATCGCTAATCTCTCTCCTTTTCGCCTACTCCCTCTCCCACACGTTGTCCTCTCCGAAAAGATGAGAGGGGTGCATTTCTGTATGTGTGATTGATATGTTATGTAAAGACACTTGCCAACAACAGGCTAACAGGCTTGTAGAAGCACTTAGGTTTTATCTGAGGACAAATTTGAGTTAAATGTATTCAGTGGGTGTTAAGTATGCAAACATGAGTAAATCGCCCTGTTTATAACTTTCAGTGGTGTACAAAGATGAATGCTGGTTGTTCGTGCTAGGTATGAAAACACATTTTGCTCACAGGAGCTGCATTAATACTTTTTTCTTATTTCTTTTTTTAGAGAAAATATTCATTGATCGCATGCCCGGTGTCTGACGTACATTTGTAATTGCCGGGGTTTATTTACTTGAAATAATCAGAGGCTGCTGAACTTTGAGGTCGGTGTGTTGGATCGTCCAGCTCCTGCCAGTGTTGTAATTTGGCGGCAGGGGGTACAGCGAGCAGATGGCACTGACAGACTGTAACTTACCCAACAGAGAGGGGAGGTCATTGCATGCTGGGAAAGACCACAGAGACAAAGGGGAGAGATGGGAGGCGAATAAGCACGAGGAGCGTTGTTACCACGTGGGAAATGCATAATTCAGATGAAGTCGTGACATAAAATGTGAATCCTTCCAGTTTGATCGCTTCATAACTCACTGGTCTCTGATGAGGCATTAGCTGACCTCTGACCTTGCTTTGTGCAGCACAGTGGCATCAGTATGGCTCACAGAGTGCACAGTACACACAGTCACCTTGGCAATGACAATCACTCTCTCCAAGGCTATGACATCACTGCAAAGAAAAGGAGATGAGGAGGAGGAAGAAGATGGGGTGGGGTGGGTTGGAGCGGGGGGGGGTCGTCTCTGGCTCTACAAAACCTCTGCAGCATCCCAAGCTGATGCCCCAACATTCAGCGCTCCTGCCAAGAGGACAGACGCAAGAGGAAGAAAATCATCCTTTTCAATTCCATCACAAAGCGAGGAGTAGGAGGAGTCAGTTGAGTGAGATAGTGATGCTCCCAGCAGGTGCCAACAAGTGAGAGGTAGCCCAGAGACTGAGAAGGAAGGAGATGGAGAAGAGTCTGTGAGAGCAGAAGACACCAAGACCTCTGAGAGAAAACAACCCAACAGGTGAGCACGCTTGCATTTTCTTTAATATGGTTAGATATTCATGTGGAACAGTTTATTTTGCAGCTATTTAAATTGCAATAGTTACTTATCAAAGAGAATCACAGTGAGTTAAGTTAAAATGTATTACATCCACAAATGGAGCTTTATACAGTCAGATGGGTTTTTAAAGCAAATTATACATTTAGTAGAAAATGCTTTTCCACAGTTCATACTGCATTAAAACCTGAAAGCAACCTCAGAATAGTAAAATAACTTTGAATTGAGACTTTAACACAAAGTTTAGCTTTTCTTACTTTTATTTGTACTTTTAAAAATGATGAAATCCTCTCGATTTTGCAAGAGATCCCACCTAATTAGTACTTTTTGAACTGCTAACTGAACCTTAAATTGAGGATTATTTAATGCAACACAAAGTTTTCCTCTTGAATTAGTTAGGAAGACTTGATTTCATGACTAAAATCTAAAATAAATGTGTCCAGATTCTGGATGTTTGAACAGGCTATTCTAATCTAGATTTCAAAGCCTAACCGGGGACGGGGCTGCAAATTAGCCTCGGCTAGACGCACTAAATATATTACATCTGTTGCATTGCTTATCTGTATCTAACCATGTTTATCTTTATGGTCCATGTTCGTAAAATTAAAAAATTCATTTTAAAAAATGGATAATCCTAAAGACTGAGCATTGGGTAAACTGTGCCTGCAAAGATATTTGACTATTACAACTATTAAATAATGTCAAAGATTTTTCAGAAATATTTTATATTTACAGCGTTTATAGAAGTATTTTTGATTTCAGTTGTATTTGGGTGTTTGCAACCAGTATATTTTCAGTCCTCCTGCACCAGTTTTTCCTGTCCGTCATCTCTGCTGCCATGCTGTGTCCTGTGCTCCTTTGTGCCACTCTGCTCCTCCTGACACCCCTGGAGATCACAGAGGCTCGTGCTCTGCACCCTTCTCCCGATGCTGTGCAGGTACAAAGGGAGGGAGGGGAAGGGAAGGGAAGGCTTGGAAAGGAAGAGAAGAGTGGACTGAGGAGGATTCAGAGTGGATGAGGGATACAAGAGAAGGAGGGGAGGGAGAGCAGGAAAGAATAAGGAGAGAGTAATGAAATGTATCACTGATTGAATTATTCTTCCGCGTACACTCCCTGGCAATTAAATTTAATCTTTTTTCCCCTCCTGTAGTTCATGGAGCAGTTTCTGGAACGATACAATGACCTTTTGACCCTGGACGACCTGGAGAACCTGTTGAACACCCAACCGGAGGAGCAGTCCACCTTCTCCTCGGGGGTCAAAGCAGCCGAGTACCCCAAATGGGCCGACGCACAGACGCAAGCCGAGACCCCCTGGCTGCGCCTGCTGAAGGGGGCTCTGGCCAACCAGAAGCGAGCAGAACCAGACAGGTCACGGAGGGGATGGAACCGAGGATGCTTTGGGCTGAAACTGGATCGAATCGGGTCTATGAGCGGACTGGGCTGTTAGTGGAGGGAAAGTAAAGACTGATGACATCCTTCTTAGAGTATATTAAGGAAAAACACACATGCAGAGACATGCAGTGAAGGATGTTTACATGCGTGTAGACTACATGTAGTATGGTGTAAACTCGCAGCATTGCTAATGTGGTTTCATCCAGCGTAGGCACTGTACCATAGATCAGACGCTTCACACTATTGTGGCTGTTTAACAGAGCAGGTGTAGTTTATTCCATGTGTAAGTATTAAACTGAATATTAGAACTATGTGAGCTATGTTTACATCAAATGATCATCTTTGGTTGTTGGGCTTGTTTTTTTTGTTTTTTTAAAGTAAATTGGCACTTTATGTGTTTCCAGCTTTGTCTGCGTACAGTAAATGTAAAAGTGTTTAGACATTTTGTGGCCGGGCGGGGGGGGGTTCTTGTGTAAAATCAGGTGTAATGGACGTGGATATCCAAAAATGATGGCACCTGTAATTCCTGCTGTTTGTTTTTATGTTCACTTATGATTTGCATGAATAAATTGGATTTGACATTTGCTGTGTTCTGTGTAATTGTGAGATTCAACATCCATTTCTGTCCCTCATGTAAATCCCACCTTGTTGACTCTAATGACAGGCGTCATCTCAATTTGTCCTTCAAAGTGGAGCTTCAAATTCTCCTGACAGATATTTTTTTGACTCCTGATGCTTTATTAAATATTCCAACGACTATTGGAGGGAAGTTATATTTCTTCCCACATCATTCTGGAGTATGGGTGGCCAATCGGTATGAAAATGTATGAAGACCCTCGGCTGAGTCCAAAAACTGATTTCATTCTGGCATTACAGCCAAGTTGCTAGGGCAAAAATACTGAAGCGTGCAAATAAATGTCAGATAATCTCATAATGTTCCACCCAATAGTTATTTTTGAAAATGTATATATATATATATATATATAAATATGATGCAATTTTACATTTGGCAGTCTTTGTACCAGCATTGTGCCCAGTTTAAGAACATGACATGAATTCCTTTAAACGTGGAGGCAATATACAGAGGTTCAGATCAAGACTTTTTGACACTCTCACTTCAAGGTACATTTAGTAGCTGTTCTGGTGCTTTTGATCACATCACATAATCTTCTGCAGACAGAGTTTGTTGCAGTGGTCACAGAATTGTAGTTGAACAAAATAAAAATGTTTCTTTAAATCCCCTGAAAAAGGATATCCCTACAATATGAAATATTAATGACTAAATAAGTAACTATCAAGTAAAAACCAACATCTTTATGGCATTATTTATTAATCATTAAGACTTTAAAGCTCCAGCGATTTAGTGGCATCTAGCAGAGTATTTCCAGATTGTAACTAAACTACAGTGGCCACGAAACGCATGAAAAACCAGAAACAGGCCTATCGAGAGCCAGTGTTTGGCTTGTCCATTCTGGGCTATTGTAGAAACGTGGAGGTTCAACTTTGCAAACAGCAATTTATTCTCACCTCAAGGTCCATTTAGTAACTGTTCCGGAGCTTTCGATCATATCACATGATCCTAATTAGTACTAGGTGATCAGAAAAAAAGTGAATCTACAATTTCATGACAACTCAGCAGCAGATGAAGTTCATTTGATATGACTGAAAGCTCCAGGCAGGTCTTAAATGTACCTTCGGGAGACTCAAGAAAGACCTTTGAAGCCCCGGACTTTCTCAGATTAACTGTCGGTGTGTTCTTGGTGTAACTCTTATCACTCTTTGTTACAAATAGATGCGTGTCCACCTTCACATGCTTGCAGTCTTTACCTGACAACAGTTGTCATGCAGTTTATATTCAAATTGAGCACTTTTACACAGACCCACGAGTAGGTGTCTAATTCTCACACAATGCTGACACACACAGCTGCAGAGAGAAGCCTAATTCAGGCAACAGTCCCTCTTAGGTTATACTGCATTTTAACACAGTGGTTTCTAACCTGACGACTACTGAATGATATTTCATGTTATATTCAATACAGAACAATAACAGAGCAGAACTAATGATAAACTGTACAATTAACTCAAATAGTGAACACGATAACTGCAGGAAGTTTGTGTTAAACGAAGCATTTGGACGAATTTTGAGCAGATGGCAAGTTTTCCTGCTATTTTTAGGAACTTTTTATACAATTGTGTCTGTTTTTTTATATATTTTTTTATACTTTATATTAGCTCTTTGGTTGTTTTAACTTCATACTTTTCTAATTCAGAATGAGGCTGTTTAGCAGAGAGGGAAGCCTCTGTGAATATAGCTTGTGTTCAGGTCCTTACCATGCGTTTTCTTAACAGAAATCAATACAAATCTGAGCTATAGGCCTACTGTATATATATATATATATATATATATATATATATATATATATATATTAATATTATAGTTTTGTTTTGACCCCTTAAAATCAAGAAGGCCCTGTGACCACCTGTGAAGCTCTGGCAACCCTTAGTGGGGGGAAGATTGAAGATTTACATTGCAACACTAGATGGCAGTCTCACTCCATCGTGTGTTTTGTTCCTCACCACAGAGAGCTGCACTCTGGACTTCGCACTGGACTTATTAACTACAGGACATAAGTTGTATAAATGTAGTTAACGGCCCTTTTTACATGCACACTAAACTGTGCACAGATCACCAAACTGCAGTCCATACATTGTGTTGTTACTGTAATTTCTGATAAAGTAAACTAGAATATAACTTATATTCTGATTAATAACAGTAATTTGCACTTGAGTCTGCTATTATTTTAAAGTGGTATTATAAATACACATTTTCTTGTAATCTTACAGTGACCCTTCCACTGATCTAAAATAATAATTCCCCCACATATTTTATTCCATGGCCCCTCACTTCCCTCCCTACAGTGGGTAGAGTTTGGCCCTTGTAATATAGAAAGAACATGTGATCTGTATGAGACAGCATTTACAGTACTGAGAGTACAACATGGGCCAAGTGTTGACTAGCCAGCCAGCGTCTAATCTTAGCCTGACCTTTACTTCCCCTCTTTGACCTTAAGCTGCAAAGCAGAGGCCAAGACTGGCATGCACTCGGGGTTGTGGTAGTTCAGCTATGCCCGGACCACTGGACTGCAGCCATAAAACACACCAGCAGTGTCCGGTTTTGGTGCTAAGCTAGATGTCTGCTAGGCTGCTGCAAAATGTGTTTCACTGTGTGAATCTGCTGAGGTGGAAAATAAAAGCTACTGAATGTCATCTTTGGTCAAGTTGGATATGTAATGTATTGTACGTTCATGGTGGCAAGATGCCATGCCATGGGTAAGGTTTCAATTCACTGTCAGGACTGTCTACGGATGAGGCCCAGTATGCAACCAGGGGGGATATTTCCAGCAGGAATCAACTTAAAAGGCCTTCTGGTTTAAACTGGCACGGTCATTATTCTGATTTAACATTTCATAACAGCTTCTGGAGGGATTTCTTTTCAAATACAAACACTGCTGCCGGACAAAAGAGTCAAAATACACTCAGAAAACTGTCACATCCGGGTCTTGTCATATTCAGTGTATAATTAATAAAAGTGAAGACAGCAGCATGGCACATTGCCGAGTGCAGCACTTTTTTTTCAGACAAAGAAAGCTGTCTTTGAATGAAGTGGGGTTTCTTTTAGCATTCAGATAGTTATTAATTTCTAAATAACCTGAGTAAGGAACAACTGGGCAGAGTGAATGGACTCCTCTGCTCATGCGTAATGATCATGTGTTCATGTTAAGTAACTGAGACTCAACTTTTGATTTATGCTGAGGAGATGGAGAGGCGAGAGAGAAAGGTTGCTTTAAAAATGGAAACCTGTGAAAACCTGTAACCAGTAACCTAATCCAAGTTACACAAGTAACGTAACTGTCAGAACAATGTAACTTTTAAAAAGAAAAAGAAAACCAAGATTCTTAGAGTCACAAAAATACAACCTCTACCTCTACTTGTGTATTTTTAAAGAAAAACTTTTGGGTGAAACAGGCCTATCTAGAGCCAGTGTTTGGTTTGTCCATTCTGGGCTACTGTAGAAACATGGTGGTTCAACCTTGCAAACAGCAGTTTACTCTCAGATTACGTAACTCAGTTACATGTAATCTGTTACTACCCAAGCCTGTCTATAGCTACAGAGCGTCTGAAAGTGAAGGGTCGTGGTCTTTGAACATTAAATGTCACAGTTAGGACGACAGAGATTTGATCCTTCTGGTTGCTCCCTCTGTGTCTCTGTGTGTCTGTATGAGAAGGTCAGTGAGAGACCCCTCTCTCTTTTCAGTCCACTATCTGAGGACTTTAATATCCGAGTATCTATATCTAGACCACTTAAAGGCGTGGGAGGTGGCTTGATGAGACTGGAATGTCTGCTGAAACAATGTAAATCTAAACAACATATTCTTGAGTTTGAGGCCTATAATTAGCAGCAGAAATGTGACAATAAGAGAGAAACTTCTAGGATAAATAACTCACATTAAGTTGCAGAAACCAGCTTCACATGTCTCTTTGCAGGCTGATGACCTTGACATTCAGAGGGGGCGGGGCGAGGAGTAGTGACCTATGAGGGAGGCGTGGTTTTCAACTCTGGTTAATCATAAAAACACACAGCTAAACTTTGCTCTTCCCCACTCACACCCGGAGTCGCAAGACAGACTGAGGCTTCTCACAAACGGTAAATACCATCAATAATTAAATGATTTCAGACGGAGAGGTTCAGGATCAGGCTGCATATCTTGATTTAGATCACCTGGGGACAATCTGCATGGGCTTGATTGAAGCTAATTTTAAAGTAAATGTGGTCATAAAGTTCATAGACACTAACTTTGTTCAATTTTAACTCTTGTTTTAAATGCACTTCTTGCTACTTATGAGGATATAAATCATACTTTTCAGTGTGTATATCCAGTAGGTTGTACCGTGCAGGGGAAAGTTCTGGTTTGCAGATCTGCATTGAAATGGACTGTGGTCACAGACCGCTTATCATTGGAATACATTGCATTTTTAATTAAACTCTTTGCTTATCTCGAAGCAGAGTCCTGAGTACTGTCTCTCATCAAGTGAAAGCTAATATATGGCATCATAAATGGTTGGTTTGAGTATTTAACATGATGCATTGTTCCTCCTCTTCTCTCATTTCACCTTCCAGAGGACTAGAACAACCCAGGCAAAATGGTCAAAGTCGGTATCAATGGGTAAGTGCTCATTTTCATCCATTCACATCCATTTCACAGCAACCAAATCCCATTAATTAGCACCACTAAATAAGCAACACACACTCAGTGTTCAACAGTCACTTATTAGGCCAGCCTGTGTCCTCTCTGCACCCCCAACTCACAAAGCTACACCCCTTTCATCTGTGCACACAGGGAGCATTCGAGTAATTTACTGTAATGGCTGCCTTGGGTCAGTTGTCAAAATGCACCATCTGTGCTTCCTAAAGCGTATTTGTTTCTCTTGTTGCTCAGATATACATGAATTTAAAAATAAATAAAAGCAAAGACTCATCAGTCAAGAAGGCAGGATACTGCACCAAGAGCTACTGAACTAAAGA